GTGGATGAGGGGACTTTGGCCATTCCTGTCCTACTCGCCCCAATCTCAACATGGCTTTAGTAGTAAGTGAAACTGAATGGAGGAACTGTCCCTTACTGTGGGCTCCCTGAGGAAGGGGCCTCATCTCCCCCTCAGACTGGGGCTCCCCAAAGTTGGGGCTGTGTCTCTTCAGATTGGGGCTCCTGAGGGCAGGACACAGCCCCCTCCTTTGGACACTTCCATCCTGGGCTCTTCTCACAGCCCGGTCTGGGCAGGGAGTCCCAGCCACGGCCCTGGGGTCGGCCTGACTCGGCCTTGAGCACTCCACTCCCCACCCAGGCCAGAAGACTGAGGGAACACCTGGGCCTTCTCTTGCCCTGGTCAGTGTCCCTCCGGTTCACAAGAAAGGAGGACAGAGCAGACATGGGGCAGGAAGGGAGCTTAGAGACCCCTGGCCTAACTGGCCACTGGCAAGCAGACCCCTTTATTGTCACTTGTGGGGACTCAGCCCCTTCTGAATTCTGCTGAGGAACATTCCTCTCCATGCATGAGTGACCTGGGGGTGGCCTTCCCACACCCCAGACACTGATGGTGACTGAAAGGCAGGTCCACGGGGTGAGGGACGGGCTGGGGGGTGGACGATAAGCTAGCACCTATTTTGGCCATTTGGACCATGAGCCCAGGGTAGAAGGGGGCCCTGTGGAAGGGATCGCAAGCCCAGGGGACAGCCCTCACCCGGTGGAGAGGGTGAGATCCTGAGAATCCTTGCTGAAGCTCCCACTCCCAGGCTCTGGCCTCTCAGGTCCCCATCCATCTCTCTCCATGGTCCCCATCCCAGTTTCAGCCACCTGCCATGTCCCCTGGGGTCCCTTTCTAGAACCTTTCCTCCATCAAGGGGAAGAGAAGGCAGAGTGCAGATCTACCCCAAATCCCTCCATGTGTGGGGACAATCTGGGGGAGTTGAACGAGAGCTCTGTGTTAGAGGATAGTAGGAAATTTGGGGCTCGGGGTGAGAATGCCATGATGGATTATGTAGAAAGTCCGGGGTTTGGTTTTGTTAGAGATTCATGATGAAGTGAACAGGGTGACAGGTCATAACGTCTAGATCTTAAAATACTTGAGCACAAAAATCTGGCAAAATGTTCGTGGCTCTATCTTGGCAACGGGTACCCATAGATTCACTGTGCCATCCCCAGTGTTTGCTTGAATGTTTTAATTTTCTCATCACAAAATCTTTTAGAAAGAAAAAGGGAGGGAGCTGGGGTTGTGGCTCAGTGGTAGAGCGCTTGCCTAGCATGGGCAAGGCGCTGGGGTTCAATCCTCAGCACCACATAAAAATTAATAAATAAAATCAAGGGACTGTATCCAACCACAACTAGAAATATGTATATTAAAAAAAGAAAAAGATAAACATTGTTCCAACCTGAGTTTGAATACCAACTCTTTCTTTTTCTTGCTGTGTGACCTTAGGGGAGTATTTAACCTGTCTGGGCTTCACTCTCTCTACTGTTGAATAGGACAACTATAACCCTGTTAAGAAGATATTTTGAGTCTTGAACATGATAATGAGTGGGGAGAACCAGCACAGTTTGGACATAGTAAGTGCTCAGTTAAAAGCAGCAGTTTGTGAAATGGATGGTGGGGAAGCTGGCGTGCACATGTGCAGGGTATATTCCCAAACTCTCTGTCTCAGTTTCTCAGCTTTCAATAAGCAGAGGTTAATGACGTCACTTGGGTCAGCAGCCACACACTCCACCCCCGACTCCATGGCAAGGGAGGGTACTGGATGCTGGGGAATGAGCAAGGCCGAGGGGAACAGTGCCCTCCAAACAGGACAAGGACACAGGTTCCTTACGAGGAGCATCCCATTTCATGTCCAGCCCTCAAACAGGGCCATTTTCTTGGGTCACATCCAGACTCCAGCTTTGAAGGCAGGCGAGACTGAAGGTCGAACCCCTCAACACCCCCCACCAAGGAGAGGAGGGAGGAGGCAGAGCCCCAAGCTGGGGACAAGGGCAGTGGGGTGTGCAGCCCGTAATGGGAGAAGGCCAGCCTCTATTTTGGGAGGCAGGAGGTAGCAGGTGGCTGGCTGGTGCTGGGACATGTGAACCCTCCCACCAGGGGCTGTGTGGCCTGCAGCAGGACAGCTGGGTACTGCCAGCACAGCCAGGCCCTGCGTGAGCCCACCGGCGAGACGCACTTGTGCCCACGGAGGGAGGGAGATCTGGTTTCCCCGCCAGGGCACCCTTCCTAACAGTCTGGAAGAGGGAAAGGCCACCTGGCACCGGCCCCCCGAAATCCACAGTAAAGCAGGCTCCAGGGACCCGAATGCTCTGAGGAGCTGCCTTTACTAGAGGGGGGACACAGCCCCATCACCCCAGGGCCTCCTAACCCAGGGGAGACAGCCTCTGCCCTCAGGGAGCCCCAGTCTGAGAGAGGAGACGGCCCTGGGGTGGGGGCTCCACGTCTGAGGGGCCTGAGGAAGTCGGTCACCGGGGACCGCAGCGCCCCATGAGGCTGGGGCAGGCCATGATTTGCAGTTCCCTGCAGCCTGGTTATTTTGGGGTGAGCAGGAGGAGCGGGAGACTTCCCAGACAAAAATAGCCTTCCCTGGGTGTCATTCCTGGAGACGTGCTCAGTGCCCGGTGGCATGCTTGTCACACGGCTATGTTCCTTGGGCCCCTCCCGGGCATGGTGGGCAGGGCCAGGATGGCAGTTGGGAGAGGGGGGCCCTGGGGGGAGCAGAGATGAGCCTTGTTTCCTTATCAGGACAGTGTAGGGACTCAGCTCCTGTCTCCAGGGCCACCCAAAGCTGCCCACCACTTTGGCCAAGTCCTCCTCCCTCAGGGGGCCGCCAGTCCCTCCCTCAGCTCTGCAAAGACCTCTGGCTCCACCTGCCTCCCCAGTGGTGTGGTCAGTAACTGCTCGTGGTCTAGGGCTCCCCGTCAGCCTGGGGCTCCCGAGGACAGGGTCGCATCTCCACCACCCTGTTTCTGATGGAGTGGGAAGAGAGTTGACAAGACCTGGGTTCCAGGGCCGACTGTGGCTTCCCGCCCACAGACATGGCTCTCTATAGAGTAGCGCTGCTGTGTCCACAGATTCAGGTTCGAACCCCAGCCTGGTCACTTCCAGCCTGGCTCACCTCAGGCCCTGTATCTCACCCCCCTGGGTCAGGAGGAAACAGCAATTCCCCCCACCCCCCGCAGGCAGGCATCAGCTTAAATGAGATAATGTGTGCCAGAGACTTGGCATGGTGCCCGTGGGGGTAATAGAAAGGCAGATCAAAGAAGGGCCTGGAGGGCCAATTCTCAGGCTGTCTGCAGGTTGGGCAGAGCCCTAGGCCCCATGACCCTGGAGTCTGGGACCAGTATTGGCCCTGGAAGGCTTCAGAGTGACCCAGGTCACTGGCTGGGCCAGGGATCTCCTAGGAGACTTGCCTCCAATTCTAGGAACAGGGGACAGTGAAGGCTGGGTGAAGGCACTTTGCCGCTTCTTCAGCTCTGACGCCCCACCTCAGACCACAGCTCCAGCTGGCTCTGGTCACTGTCCCCTATCAACTCCCCTTCCCTCCCCTGTCCCCCTACCGTGTGGAGAAACCCAGATGCCTTGCACGTGTGACATCTGTCATGGTGTGTGACCCTTGTGAGCTGGGCAGGGGACCCGGACCAGGCCCAGACAACATAAATACGTCCCGGAGTTTACACTGCAGGGGCCAGGAGTACACAGCAGTCGGTCGGCGGAGGCCCTGTTTATTCCCCGGGAGTTCATGGCCAGGGCGCCATAGGAGGAGGGCGGGGGATCCTCGGACAGTTGCAGCTGCATAGATGTCCATGTGCTAAGGACCCCAGACCCCAGGGAAGCCTGTGGGCCTCCCGGGCCACCGCGTCTTGCCATGTCCCAGCTGTCCCATCCCTGCCTCATGAATGATACCGTGGTGCACGTGGAGCCGAGTACAGAGCGGCCTCCCTGAGCCCGTGGGTGGGTGGGGGCCCTCGGCTGTCCTTCCCTTGGCCCTCAGCCCTGCCCTGGGAGTCCAACCCAGACTCCAGTGCACGCTCTGGGCCAGGCCAAGCTGGGCCTAGTCTGGCTTAATCATTACTAATGCTGCCCCTGGAACTTGTCCAGGGTGCTGGACTTTTTTGAGAACTTCCTACCACCCAGCATCTTCCCTGCTGACTCTGAGGAGCTGGCTGGGCCAAAACTGTCCATTGTCTGCCCCAGAGGGCAGAAGCCCAAAGGCTACGCTGGCCCTGAGCCCTGCCCGGACATCTCCGTGGTGCTTGAGTACAAGATTATTGACCAACAGTTCTGCTAGCCTCATGGTGGCCGGCACGGTGATCCATTTGACAGATGGGGAGAGTGAGGCCGAGTCATCCCACAGAGGTAGAGAAGTAACCCTCCCACAGGTGCCCAGCAAGTGACATCAGTAACATCTGACTTCCCTGCAGGGTACTTCCCACCCACCTCTCACCTGGCAAGCAAGGATGCCTTCCAGGAGAAGGCCAGTGTCACCTTCCTTCCCTGCAAAATGCTCTTGTTGGAAAGTTGGAGTGTATCCATTGGTGTTTTCATCCATTGGCAGGACAAAGTTCTGTGCCAAACACAGGCAGGAGGGGGACTGATGATAATAATAATGACAGTAACTGTAGCTGGTGCAGAACTCATCTCCAAAGGGTCACTCACATGACCTTGAACCCAGCATGGGAACAGTGTTCTTGGGATGATTGAACAGTGATAACAGCTCTTCCTAGGGGAAGGCTGGCTCAGGGAGGGAGTGATGTGATGGGGCTGGGAGTGAGGTCAGGGCTGGAGGAGGTAGTGACAGTGGCAGTGGTGATGAAGATGAGACAGGAATTAGTGACAGAGGCCAGAACACCATTCACTTCCCACTCCCGACAGCCCTGGACCGCCCCGCCAGCATCACATACTCTTAATCCCGCGGCTGTCTTTCTTCGGGTGACCATTTTTACCCTCATTTTACAGACGATGACATTGAGCCACAAATTAGTCAAATCCTGCTTGTTTGAGGTCACAAGGTCACAAGGAAGCAGCAGAAAGCTGAGTGAGCCAGGCGCTCTGCCTTCAGGGCCAGGGTTCTCAGCTTCCTCCCAGTGGGGGTGAGGTCCAGGGCATCGTCTGTCCCCACAGTGGCCTCTGTGTGCGTGGCGGGGAGGAGCAGGCCTGGATGACAGGGAAGCAAATCTAATCCTGGCCCTACCACCCATGTGCGGCATGACCTTCTCTGGGCGGTGGCCAAGGTAGATGTCAGCTGCCAGGTGACAGCAGGCCTGCCCGCAGAGCCAGTGGAGCCTGGCAGGAGCCACACACACCAAGGGGATGAAGTCAGGGGTGGGAAATAATCCTGGAGTCAGAGGCAGGCTTGCTTGGGGGGGACATTCCTGGAAAGTTCTGCTCTGATTGGCTTGAGGTGGAGGCTTCTGCAGAGGCCTTTCCAGTCAGGAGCGAGTTTATTAATAAACCCTGGGCCAGCCCCGCCCTCACCCCGGGGGAGAGGCAGGGCTTCCGGGGGCTCCTGCCCCCCAGGAGTGGTGAGTCCCACCAGCAGGGATCCCAGGGAATGTGCCTTTAGATCTAGGTAGGGGGTGCAAAGGCCCTGGACTCCCAGAATGCACTCTGCATCCAGGGCTCCTCTGCTTCAATCATCGCTTTAGGGGACATGGCAAGCAGGTGGGTGGGTGCCTGTGGGGGCACTGGGGTGCAAGCCACATGGATGCCAGCACTCACTGCTGGGTGTGCAGATGTGAGCTCCTGAGAGGTTATAAGGATGAAGTTGGATTCCCAAGGACCCCGGGGGCTGTCTGGTGCAAGTTTTGCTGGGAGTTAGACCCGAGTCTCAGCTGCCAGTGAGCACACTCTCCATGTGCCCTTATGAGGCCCTAGGTGGTGCGTGGGAGGCTGGAGGGGACGGCAGAGTGTGAGGGTGCTAAAGCCCTCCCAGCACCTCCTCTGCAGCTCATTAGCACCCCAAGACTAAATGCACTTCCTCAGTTCCCGCACCCGCTAGCCCTGACCTCATTAGGCCCCTGCCCCTTTCCCAGGACAGTGGGGTTGGGCGGCAGGGATGACTCCTTGGCCTGCAGTGCAGGATCCCTGTCCTGAGGGTGGGGGAAGTGAAGCTAGGGACACAGACTTAATATGGTGGAGGGGCTGGCCTGGAGGCTGTCATCTCCCATTACACCTGCCACCTCACCCCCATCATATGACCCAGCTCCTGCTGGTAAGGCGTGGGCAGAGAAAGAAGCACCTGGTCCCGAGCTTTGCTGGGGCCACCCTGCACTCTGTCCCTTCCATATGTCCTCAAATGGTGCCTTTCACTCAGACTATCCTCCTGGGAAGGGGCAGGGTCCAGACCACTTGTGCTCAGTGTGGCTATGGCGTGGCTCAGCTGGGTGACCCCGAGCAAGAGTCTCCCCCACTGATTCCAGCAGAGTCACCAAAGGGATGGCTTCTTTGGTTCATACCCTTCCCTCCACCCTCCCTGTCCCCAGAACCATGGTCCCTAACTGTGGCTCACCTACCTATGAGGTGAGCCCTGGGCTCAGCTTAGGGTTAACTTTAAGGTAATAAGGAGCAGGGGCAGCCAGGGCCAGCAGCCCCCTCCTGGCCTCTGCAGGAGATCAGTGAGATCGCTATGAAGGACACATTCAAGGTCAGCTCCTCCTCTAATCCTCTCCTATAGAGAAATTCCTCCACACCCCAGGGGGAGACAGCCATGCTCCCAGAGAGCCCCAGTCTGATGGAGCCAGCGTGCACTCACCCCCTGTTGAATTTCCTGTGTGACCCTGAGGTTTTACTCAGTTCCTCGAATCCTCCGTTTTCCTGTCTGTGAAATGGTAACAGGCCACCGACCTCAAAGTGCTTGGTGCACGCCTGTCGGACCGGAAAAACTGAGTAGGAGGTCACTGTTCTTTTTCAGCTGGGCTTTTGTTTTTGTTTTCAGAAAGAAACCACTGCATTTGGTGGTTAAGTGAGGAAGCGGGTTGCAGCTGGGTCCTGCTTGTGTCCTATTCCCACCCCAAAGAGCGGCCCCCAGAGGGTCAGGCTGCTGAATCCCTAATCTCTCTGGCAGCCCCATCCTGGACTTCAACAGTCAACAAAGGAAAGTCAGCTATAGGACAGGCCCAGGCCTGGGGACACCAGTGCAAAATGGGGACATGACAGGCCCTATAACACCCACGTCAGGCAGTTCACTCCAGGGATATGGAGAGAGTGGGAAAAGCAATGTCGCTGTCACCAAGCCAGGGGCAGTGGCACATGCCTGTAATCCCAGCAGCTCAGGAGACTGAGGCAGGAGGATCCCAAGTTCAAAACCAGCCTCAGCAAATTGGTGAGGCCCTAAGCAACTCAGGAGACCCTGTCTTTAAAATATTTAAAGCGGGGGTGGAAATGTGGCTCAGTGGTTAAGAGCCCCTGGGTTCAATCCCTGGTACCAAAAAAAGTCCGTGTGGCAGATACCTGCCACCTTGCAACTCCTGTCTGTTGGCCTGAGGGAATTCAGCAGCCTCAGGCCTGAGGGACATACCCACTGAAGCCTGCACGCTGTGGTGCAGGAGGTGTGTGTGCACATGTGTGTCCAGCCCAGTCTCTGCTGAAGAGTGGCGTTTCCTCCCATCCACTGAACGGTGCCACAAGTATGGCCCCAGGGACTGAGCCTCTCCCTGATCTAGGGAGTCAGACTGAAGTTGCAAATGCCCCCAGAAAACACTACCCAGTGGTTTTTAGTTCTTGACTTCCCCAGGTTTTCATTTTTACCTCTTACGGAGGTATCAGATTTCTCCATCAAGTTGAGCAAATCTTAAGGGTGCAGCGGAGTGGATTTTTATGATGTATCCATCTATGTACCAAAATCCAACATGGAATTCCTCCAGCGCTCTCAGAGGCTTCCTGAGCCCCTCAGTCAATTCCATCCCCCAGGCCAGGGGACCACTGGGATTCCTTTTACCCCCGTAGTTCTGTGTGACCTATTCTATTCTAAGTGGGTCGTGGGTATGTGCCCTTTTGTGCCTGCCTCATGCTGCTCAACGTGTCCCTGAGCTCATCCGTGTTGCTCACGTCACCTTCCCTCCTCTTCCGCTGCTGAGCAGCATTCCCTTGAGTGGATGGACCTGCATTTATGTATCTATTCTGCCATCGATGGACACTTGGGATCTTCCTATTTTTAACTAATATAATGAAAGCTGTAGCATCCTTCATACTTATCTTTGCTGCACAGAAACATGACAACACAGCTTTAGGAGTAGATTTCGAGGGAGTCGTCTGCTCAAAAAATCTGGGAAGATAAAGAGGGATTTTAAAATTACTAAGTGTTAGCCAGGCGTGTGGTGCACACCTGGGATCCCAGCAACTCGGGAGGCTGAGGCAGGAGGAGAGCAAATTCAAGGCCAGCCTCAGCAACTTAGCAAGGACCTAAGCAACTTAGTGAGATCCTGTCTCAAAATTAAAAAGAAAAAAGAAAGAAAATTAAAAGGGCTGGGGATGTGTCTCAGTGGTAAAGTCCTCTGGGTTCAATCCCTAGTACCAAAACAAAAAAACAAAACAAAAAAAAAAACCAAAAAACATTACTTTCCCTTTTTTTTTGGATCTGATGGTCCATTGACAAGGGAAGGAGGATAGAGACAGAGTGGCCCCCAAGGGGAATTCCACCGATATCACCCCAAGCCTGGAGCAATCCGGTGTGTGTACCTGTGTGTGTGGAATGTTTTCTAGGGCTGATATAAAAATTATCACTCACCCCATGGCATAAACACAACAGAAATGTGGGCTCTCACAGATAAGGAGGCCAGAAGTCGGAGATCAAGGTGTGGCACAATTGGTGGGTTTCCTTCAGGCACTGAAGGAGACACTGTCCTGCCCCTCAGGCCTAGCTCCTGGTGGCTGCCAGCAGTCCTCGGTGTCTCTTGGCTCGTGGCTGCAGCCCCTCAGTCTCTGCAACTTTTCCAGAGGTCCACCTTCCCTGCGAGTCTCCCTGTCTTTGTGTCTCCAAATCTTTCTCCTTAAAAGGACACCAGTCATTGGGTTTAGAGCCCACTCTAATCCAGTGAGATCTCATTTTAACTTGATTACATCTACAAAGAACCTATTTCCAAATAAGGTCACATTCCCAGGTATTGGGGATTATCACTCCAACAGATCTTTGGGGGTGGGGAGTGTACAACCCTCAACAGTAATGACTGCATGTTTGGGAGTGTGCATGCCCTATGCCCAAGGGGTCCTGAGTGTGGGTGTGTGTGTGTGTGTGTGTGTGTGTATGTGTTCTGCTTCAGAACTTGGAACATAGCTCGGAGACCATGCTGGTCAAGCTGAGAAAAGTGACATTGCAGGATGGTGGCATACCTGGGACCAGCGAGGGGGGCAAGCAGGGGCCCTGCCTCCGGAATCCAGTCAGCCGGTTGAGGCTGATTCTGAAAACAAGGGCGGGAGTGCTTGTTGTGCTGGGGTGCGGATGGTAGCTCCCCACAGCAGTGCCTGTTCCCAGATCTCCTTTCAGGAATATTCCTAGAAGGCCCCTCCACCCAAGCTCCTATCCCTTGCACCCATTTGCCTGGTCAGGGAGGCTCTGGTTGAGTCATCCTTCCCAGGGCTAAAAGCCAACACTGGGTGACCTGTTGTGCCAGCCAAGTAGGGGTGGTGCAGGTAGCCAGCCCCTCCTGGGCCCCACCCTCAAGCCAATAGGGAGTAGCATCCAATCACACCCCCACCTGCACCCTGCCACACCTCTCAACCTGTGTCCTGCATCTTGGCTGGGGCTGGACTCCAGAAATCAAAGAAAGACAGGGGCAAGGACACAGGTAAAATGCAAGACCAAGGGATGCTTATCTCCCCAGGCAGCTCTTTCAGGCAAACTTACCACTAAGCAACCGGATATTGGGAGGGTCCCCAACAGTAATGCCAGCCTGCGCATTACTGCTCTGAGCCAGGTTGTCTCATTTCAACTTCACAGCCAAGTTCAAGGGGATTCTACAATCCCCATTGCACAGATGCAATCACTGAGGGCTTGAGGAGTTGAGTGATCTACCTACAAGTGCACATTTGCGTTTAATTCTCTCTGGAAATAATAGCCTCCCCCCACCCCCCACTCAGACCACAGTCCACTCGCCCTCCACACACAGACCTGCAAATGCAGTGTAGCTCCCAACTGCCCCCAGGAAGGTCTAGGTGGGAGGTGCTGGGGTGACTCCTGGTTCCTCTGCAGGGGTCCTGGTTTGGGAGTGGTGTAGCAAGCTCACTGCCTCTGAGCACGGCTGGGTCAGAATGTGCATCTGACCTGAGGATGCACCCCCGTGGGCTTACTTTCCCACCAGGTACACATGTGGGTGGAGCGCCCATGGGAAGGACAGTGCACAGCTTGTACCTGTGAGTGTGCCTAGGTGCAGGCATGAGAGCCCCCGAGGGTGTTCGTGCAGAGCCCACCTGCTGCATGTCAGGACAGCTGTAGAGTGACTCCATTTTTCTCCCTTCCCAGATAACTGCTCCTTCACTCACAGACTCCCAGCCCCAGGTGAGGGCCTGGCGAAAACCGCCCACAACTGGAGCCAGAGACACCTGAGTCTCAAGCTCTGCCCAGGCTGGGCCCATGCCCTTGAGCTGGCATCGCCCCACCCAGGCGATGGGATGGGGTGACACAGGGGAGGAGGCAGTTGCTTAGCTTCCCGTTCCCTAGATGGCAGCTCATTACCCCGGCTCTCAGTAGGTTGTGGGAGGGGGTGTCGGGCCAGGACTTGGCACTGACTACAAAGGACAGGGGCACCCCCAGCACTCCCGCTGGCAGCAGCAGGAGGAGGGGCCGTGACGTTTGGTGGCCTCATGTGGCTGGGAGGAAGTAGCTAATTGCTGACCTGATGACTGGGCAGCCTGAGGGGTGGGGTGATGATGCCACGGACTGCAGCTGGTGCTCCGGCCAAGGAGGGGAGCCCTTCAGTGGTGGAGTGGGCGCACCCCACGGGGGACCAGTCTGGGGTAGCCATGGCCAAAGGAGAAGGGGTAGAGTTGCTGAGGCTGTAACCGTGGGAAAGGGCTTTTCCAGGGCTTCCCTCAGCTTCAAGGGAAAGAGTTCAGAAGCCCTGAGGGATGAGGGGCCTGGGGGGAGGGCTGCAGGGATAAATGGGGGTGGGGGACAGCGGTGGGGGGCAGGGGTGAGTAGCAGGGGTGAGTCCTGTTCCCCTTCTTCTTCCCACTTTTCCATCTTTCCCCTTTGCCACCTTGGCCTCCTCTTTGCCCCCCACCTCCACCCTGCCAAGGCTGGTGAGGAAGGAGAGAGTAGATGACGATCTTTGCATAGATGACCACCAACCCCAGACACAAGCAGTGCCCGGCTCCTGAAGGCCAGAGCCTACAGAAGAGGCTGGAGACTTCGGCCAGACTCCAGGGTGAAAAGAGCACACTCTGGCCAGAAGAGAACAGCAGGTGCAGGGGCCAGGCCGGGGGAGTCGGTGAGGCCGGAGGACACAGATCAGCAGGGTCATTCTGTGCCTTCCCAGCAGAACCCGTGGGTCCTCAGCACCCACAGTTTCCCCTACATGTCACCCACAGCCTTCTTGTCCAGGCAGACATGGCCTTCAACTGCTCAAGCAAAGACCAGGACCAAGCCAGGAGCCTCACAAGACAGGGATCTCACCCCATAAGTTCCAAGTGCTTTATGGCCAGAGAACTGCAGCCCTGGGCCCTAAGAAACAGGGTCCAGCCATCTGTAGGTCAGTCCTCTGGGACCCTGGCGCCCCCTGTAGGCAGGAAGCTGCACAGGGCCTCCATCAGCCTGGGGCAGAAGACAGACTTGTTGGTGGGAAGCCATGGAGCCTGTCTCAGGGAACCTCTTGAGGTGGAGGAGAGGACATAGACACTGACACGTGGACTCCAATCTACAGGGTGAAAAACAGCCCCTATCCTTGGCCTTCCAGTGTGATGGAGGAGGCATGTATTGCCCTCAGAGCACCATTCTGAAGGATGGAAATCAGCAGCCAGTTTCAGGAATCTCCCAGTCTGAGGGGAGAGAGGCAACTCCAGTGCTCAAGAACTCTATTGGATTTTCAGGAGCAATTTGTTTTGGGAGACAAGTTAGACATTTCAATACCTCTACGGCTTCCAGAAAGAAAAAGAAAGAGGAAAGAAAGGCATTCAGTTAAATTGAAGAGCAGATAAACAACAAATAATATTTTAGCATAAGTATATCCCATGCAATGCTTGGGATATACTTATGCTAAAATATTTCATTCAATTTTACTGGACGTTCTCTCTTTTCACTTACCAAATGTGGCAAATAAAGTCTGAGAGAGGAAGTCGGACCCTCAGCCCCAGACGTGGGAAAGCAGGTAAACATGTCGGCGCGCCTGGGAGGGGAGGAGAGTCCCAGGACTCCTGCTCTCAGCAGTTTAAAATTCCTTCCAGGCCAGATCCCTAATCCTGCCGTGCACAATGGCCGCCTTCTCCCCCTCCGCCCGCGCCCACGCCCTCCCCGGTGGGGCCGTGGCAGTGCCACCACGGGCCTCTTTAAGCCCCTTTGAAGCCTCCAGAGCCCCGCGCAGCGGGAGGCCCCGCCGCTATGCCAGCTATGCCAGCTATGTCCCTGCTGCCGCCGGCCACCACCGCTCCCCCATTAATGCCGGCTAATCTGGCTAATAAATAAACTCCCCTCCCAGCCTCAGCCCCCCGCTGGATCCTCCCCGCTCTCCAGAATTGATTTCAGGGTTCTCGGCCCCAAGGAGCGGCCCCACTCCACCCCGGTCTCTGTCATTTTTCTTCTGTCGCGGGCCTGCTGTCCTAGTGTGTTGCGGGTCTCTGATTTGGAGGGATTGGGGTTGGGGAGGGCCCTGCCCTGCCGATTGCATTTGTGTTACTCTTTCTCCGTCCACCTGCGCACAAGGGGCCGGACACACAGCTGGGCTGGGCCACGCGACCCGGGATCCGAGGGGCCGACTGGAGCGCCCCCTGGAGGCGGGAAAGGGCCCGGCCACGCCCCCTGCCCCTCGGCGCGCGGGGCTCCGGATGGGACGCTCTGGGCTGGGAGCCCGCCACAGGTGACTTCGCGTGCTAGCGGAAGGCGCCAGCGCCTCCCGCGGTGGAGTCCCTTCTCCGCGGCCTCTACCGCCCCCTGCGTCCCCACCCGGGCTTCCGAGAGTCTGACTCACAGCCCAGCCGGCTCGCTTCGCCTCCGACAACACACCCGGAGCGCGCGGAGAAATTACAGGATTGCAGGGGCACGGCTAATGCGCTCTAATTACCCACCGCCACTGTCATCCGCGCGCTCCGCGGCACTGGGCCAACGCGCCGTAATTAGGCCGCCCCTCCCTGCTCCCAGAACCCGTTCCCTGTCCCCCCTCACCCCTCCCGTGTCCCGATTCCACCAGCTGCCACCTGCTGTCTTCCAGGATACCCTTCGGTATCAAGAGAGCTTCAGGCCCCACCAAGGAAATGGTGCCAGACTTAGGGAAAGGTTCCCGGGACCCCGCGTGTCTCCTGAACTGAGAGTGGGCAGCGGGCAGGAACACTGAAGCTTATAAGAAAGTTAACTGTCCAGGGAGGAGTGGGTCATGCCCGCAGGGCAACAGTGTCCCCATTTTGCTTCTCCGGCAGGGAAGGCTCTCGGGAAGGGCCACTCAGCCAGAACTTCCAGATCAGCTCATTTAACGGTGAATTCATAGCGTACCTCAGGATCCCTTCACGGCAGTGAAATTACCTTCCTGCAAAGAAAGGTGATAGACCATCCCAGACCGGGTCTCAAGGGAGCTAAGGAAGAGTGGGCAGCTCAGTTCTCTCTCCCAGAAAGGGTGACAGAGGCCTTGAAGATACAAAAGCCAGGCCTGGAGGCAGGGCTCAGGAGGGCAACAGTGGACCTTAGTTTCTTCATCCAAAGTTGGCCTATGGCTGCCTCTCTCTGGAATTCTTTCTTGATGTCCTAGGTGCCAAAGCATGGCCTTGGGACACACTGAATCTTTAGTAAGGTTGTGTTTGTGAGAACCTGAGACGTGTAGGCCCTCAGTGGCCTCCCTGTAGCCAGGGCAGACCCCTGACTTCAACAGCCCTGGTGGCCTGCCTGTGCCTTACCTTCTGCTCAGGACTGGGACTTGGTCAGCACCATTGCTACCCTTTGTAGTCTGTAGGTTGCTTGGCCAGTGTCCCTATCCCTGGGAACCCCTCTTTATTGTTTCTTAGGTACTGCCCATGTGGTGGCAGTGGTGGCTGCATGACCTTCCAGATACCCCTTCCTGGTGCCCCCATTTTTCATCTTCAGTGACTGTCTCTGTGCCTTGGATCTGAACCATATCTTCTCCAGCAGGGATGGCAGGTCCCTTTCTACCATGAGATTAGAGGTTCCTGAGGGCAGGACTGGATCTCTCCCTTAGGGTGAGGTCTTACCAAGGGCCAGGGAAGGGAAGATGTAGGAGAAATTTCTTTCATCATAGTGGGCTCTCCCAGGGCCTGGACTATGTCTTCTCCCTTCAGACTGAGGTTCCCAAAAAGAAAAATGGGTCTCTCCCATTCAGATTGGGGCTTCCTGAAAACAGAGCCTGACTCCCCTAAGACTGGGGCTTCCTGAGGAGGGGGCTGCATCTCCCACAGACTGGGATTCCCTCAGTGGTTTCTCCCCTTAGATGGGACCTTTGCACCCCGCCCCTCTGGCTCCCTGTGGTGGCCAGGCATTCCTCCCAGGACACCGTTTGTCACACTTTGATGAATGAAACCTACTAAGAATAACTCAGTCCTTGTAGTCTCTAAAGGGCAAGGGTTGGGAAAGGGAGGAGGACAGGCTGTGGAGGGGCCCTGGGGTGGGGAGGGTGGACACAAGCCATTCATTCAGTAACAGTCTCTAGGTGTCCAGCTGGGTCCTAGAGGAGACATGGTGAATCCCATAGAGCCCCCCACCCCAACTTGGACATTTCTGCTGTAACCGGCAGGGGGGTGTGAGCCACAAGACCTTAAGAGAGAAGCTTCAACCCCTTTCTCCATGGCCCTCCCACCCCAGAAGTCACACGTTGGGGCCCACACAGCACCCTCCATGCCTGGACACAAGCTCCCTCTGCTTTTTCCTTCAATGAAGGCCAGACTTTGAATCAGATGCTTAGGGTAAAGAATTGCTTTCAGTGGAGGTGTGATAACCCAAAGGATGAGTTCCTGTCCACTGCCCCTTCCCACTCCAAAACCTCAAGCCTCCAGATAAGAGCGGAGTGACAGTTCCAGTGTAACTGACCCCCTGAGAACATCTTAGGGGGCCCTTGGGAGTAAGGAGGCTGTGACCTTCCCCCACATCTCTGGGCAGTGCCTTCCTGGCACTGTGCCCCACCCGAGAGGGACATTTCTGCCTGGTCTTGGCAACTACATCAGCCTGGGAGCCAGGCAGCCTGGTGCAGTACCATCTCTGCCACTGACACCACTGTGACCTTGAGAAGCCATTTGCTCACCTGGGCCTCAATTTCCCTGTATGTAAAAGAAGTTTTGTTTAGTTTTTGTGGTTTTCAAACCTTTCCTTTTTAAAATAATGAATCCTTTTATTTAAATAGTAACGTATGTGGCCCTTCTGCTGTCTGTGGCAACAGAGGAAAATTTTTGGACTTCTGTGGTCAAAGGAGAAATGGGGGCCCAAGGTCTAGTCCATTACATATGCACATAGATCAGAGCCAGGGCACCGCAGAGCCTGTTTCACAACCCCTGAAGTCCTTTCCTGCTCAAGCAGTCTGGGGCCCTGACAGAGCTGAGACCCTCAGAACCAGGGTGCTGACAGCTGTGGGGACCAGGTAGTGACTGTGGACTGCCCATGCCTTGTGAGGATGTGAGCTGGTGGGAGAGGCCTTTCAACATTGGGCCCAAAGCCACAGTCCTGTGCTGACCCTCACTGCCTGCCCAGAGGCCCAGGGGTCTTGAGTGAGGCTGAGTCCCCTCAGCTGGGGGAAGGAAACGGGACCCTCTGGAGTTCTTCTCTGGAATCCTCCTCTCATGCCCAAGTGGTGGGGGTGGGGAGAGCTGGCAGGGGACCCGCAGTAGCTGAGGGCCAGGGGCTGGCCCAGGAAGCCTGAGTGGGGCAGCATGAGTAGTGGACACTCAGGGACCCTCCCTCACTGCTCAATCTGGAAGCA